CGCCCTCAGACATCATGTCATCATCGAGGCCTGGAAGTGGTTGATCTTGGTCAGGAAGTGGTTGATCTTGGTCAGGATCCGGTTGGCCAGGAACTGGAACAAGAGACCGACCGTCTCGAAGAACAGGATAAGTGTAGCATCCCACCATGAGGTATTTGCATCCTGTTGCATGTTGATCTACACCTGGGGTCATCTTGCCAGACAAGTCCACGCTCAGCGTGTAGGCATCAGGATGTTGAATCTTTCGGTGAGGTTTGCTTCTGGCTTGGGCACGGACGCAATGAGAACAGTCTCGTCTCGCTGGCATATGGTCATTGAGGAAATGACGTTTCCACTGCTCTAATGCGATCGGCCCCAAAGCCTTCAGCTTCATTGGATGTTGAATTCGGTTGGAGGTATGCCTTGAAGTTGTGTCACCTGTGGCATACCCTTGGCTTTCATGAGATTGCAGTGACTGAGGTTCAAGTGATTGCACTGAAAATTGATCCATTGGTTGTCCTGGGCCTTTGTTCGTGGTTGTACTGAAACATGTTTGGCCCTTTCTTCTTGGTCTAAAACTTGGATGTTTTGGCAAATCGCCGTGGCAATCGCAAGTTTGAGCCCTGGGGCCCATGCAGACCAAGTCTTGGAAGTTGCACATCTTTGCTCCATGGCCATGGCTTTGTACTTGTTGGCCATCTCAGCTTCATTTGGTGGAGCTCCTCTGACCTGATCCAATTGCATCATCTCTGGCACGTTGGTGGCCATAGACGTGGGTTTCCCCTTGGAGTGTCCCATTGGAAACTGGTCAAAGCTCAGCAGCTTCAGGTTGTAGGTCTCCGCCAATGCTTTCCACTCAGCGGTTCGAAACAGCGAGAAGTACTTGTGCTGCTGGACATCTTGCTGACTCCTGTAGTTGGCCGGATCCTCTGGCTGCTCCATGAAGAACTGAGTTGGAGGCAAAGAAACATCTCGTACCTCCTCCGCCACCATCAGCAAAGACCAAAATCTGAACACCAGGACTGAGTCTCCAATCACAAGCTCCTTGTCGCCAGGTGCCAACGTTGGAAGTCCATAAGGGTGCTCTTCTGTTCTCAAAATTCCAGGTCCTTGATCTTCTTGATACCTCAGCGCTGACAGTGTCCTGCATGGAGGGCCTCCAAGTATTGCACGAACTCGGCCGCTTGCGCACAACATCAAGAGGAACCCATACACATTGCGATCATGAAGATTTGCTGCCGTTGACAAAGTCGTGTCAATGCACAGGACCTCTGTTGATGCACTTGCACACTGCTTGTCCCAAAACGCTTGATCTGGGCCAGAAAACAGATGTAATATCACATGCTTGGCCTTCATCAGACGTCGGCGTTTGTGCCTATTCCATGGGAGTCGACTGCCAAAGTCCTCCGTTTTGATCATCTCCAAATCTGGGATCAACTTCATCATCACCTCATCAGGCAAGTTTGGAAACTGCTGTCGCATCATAGCAGTAAGTGCCATGTCCAGGTTGATGCGGCTCTTGTCGATGGCAGACTCATCAGTCAGCAAAGTTCGCACCATCATCAACTTGCGCTTCTGATACACATGGTATAGTTCCAACCATTGTAGAAGGCGTCGTCCATCTTCCAACGACACCATGGGACATCCATTTTGCACCTGGACATCAATGTGTCGGCCTTCATCATCCTGCAAGGAGCACTGATTGCCTGACCGTCGAAGCACAAAGTCCAGCTCAGCCAAGCCGCCCATAGGGATGATCCATGCTGGTCGTTGCCCAGGCTCTGACAAAAGCATCTTCGTCCCAGGTTTGAGTCGAAACCGGGTGGTGGATCCTTCAGCCAACATCACCGTAGTTCCCTCCGCCTTGTTCCACTCATCCCAGTCTTCAGCTGGCCAAAGTGCATGTGTGGCACCTGAGTCGATGAGCACCACCGCTTCATCAGCTTGATCTATCCCTGAAAGCTGCATGACCTTGAGCTTCGGATTGTTGTCAGAGATTCGCAAAGTCTTCAGCAGTTGTGTCGCCTCATGAAGAAGCTCTGCTGTCTTGGTTCCACTTGCATTTTCATTGCTGCTCCCCCCACTACGGCCTCCATCTTTGTCTCCACTGGTAGTTGAGCTCGTCACTTCAGGAGGTACTGGAACATTCAATCCTCCTTCAGAGGTTGTTGCTGTTGCACCTTCTTCGGAAGACTTGGCCACTTTGACAGCTGCAGCTCCAGCTTTTCCTCCTGGTGCACTTGGTTTTGAAGTCGAAGTAGAGGAAGTCAACGTTGAAGTGGCATTGGAAGCCCCAGCTCCCGTAGAACCACGTCCTCCCCCTGAGCCACCACTTGGCTCACCCTGCTTCTTGTTCACGGCCTTCAGGCGGCAGTCACTCTTGATGTGGTCTTTTCCTCCGCAAATCCAACAACGAGATGACTTGTCCTCCACGCCGTCCCAAGAGTGCGACCACTTGCAAGTTTTTCCGGCACGACACCCTTGTCCTGACACAAAGTACTTGCAGGGTTTGTCAATGGTTGCTCCAGGCTTCGGTTTGTTGTCCGGAGTGGTACTTGATGAAGTCTTTTGATCACCTTGTAGTTGTTTCATCTTCAAAGGAGACTGCACTGTAGTTGCCGGAGCTGTGGTCAGAAGGCAAAGAGTCTCAGCTTCCGCAAGCAGACATTGACTGAAGGCCCAGAGGTTCTCATGCACAGGCTTCTCATCCAACTGAAGTTGCATCCTCGATTGAGCTAAGCGAAATGCCGCTTGAGGATCCAATGAAGCCAAATGCTGAATGGGTCCATCCAATGCCTTCAACAGCAGGACTCCATCTGGCAACACTGCTTGAACTTCTTGAGCTCGTCCAAAGTGGCGTCTCCAGTTTCTGATCGCCGCCGCCAGGTCGTGGATGCTCTTGGTGGCTGGGAGCGATGTCAGCTGGCTCAACAGCAGCTGCTTTTCGCCAGCTCCACCAGGTTGAAATCTCACCAGCAACTTGTACAAAATCGCTGTAGTTGACAGCGCCCGCTCCGTTACTAGAGCTTGTTGTTCGGCTTCTGGAATTGCCTTCAAAAGCATTTGGATGCCTCTCTGCTCCGTTCTCTGGAACTTGTGCTCTTGCAGGGCATCAGGCAAACGCGGCTCTATTTGGATCCGCTGAAGTGGTGTACTGTTTTTCCAACCTTCATAGTACACCTTGGCTTCCCTCAGTGTTGCTTCCCACCACCATCCAGCGATGCCACTGATGTCCTTCATCACAGGCGCTATCAGATGAAGCCAATCACCAAAATGAAGTGGTGTGGAATTGGCCGGTAGATCTGGCAGCTCGCCCTTATTGTTCATGTGGCCAGCTTGAGAGTCCACTGGCCAGGACTGCACAGGGCTTCCAAATTTGGATCCATCTCCCATTCCTCCTCCCCCCACATCATGACCTGGAAGGAGACAAGGATGTGCTGGACCTTTGTCATGTAGATCCCACTCATTGCCCACACCATGCAAAGCCCGACCGCGTCCTGGATGTTCACCATGCAAATCAAAAGCCCGAGCTTGTCCTGCTTGTGCACCATGCATGTGGAAAGCCCGATCGTGATCGCGATGTTCACCGTGCAAGTACGCAGCCCGAACTCCGCCTGGAACACAAGGCGCAGCTGCTGCAGCCCGAGCTTGATGTGATACATCTCCATGCAAAGCCCGACGCTGAAGATCAAGTTCACCACATCCGCCAAACACCATGCTCTGATGAGAACCAGCTACACCTCCATGCACAGCCCGATGCGGAAGGTCTCCAGTGCCACTCCCACCATGCAGGCCAAGCGATGTGCAGTTGGCTTCAGCAGCTGAGTGGTGACCCTTGGGATCTACTTTACCCCTGCTATCGAAACCAGCATTCCAAAACTCCGATTGTTGAAAGGCTAATGGAATTGAAACCCGATCGAGTGCCGTCTTCAATGACTGAACTTCCCTCTCTAGCCAGATTTGCTTTGCCTCACTAGCCGTCAGGATATCAGTCCCCTCATTTCTCTCATTTTGGGGTTTCCAATTCACATCACCATTCTTGACCTTGACCTTTGACTCACAAGTGTCATAAAGGTTGCTGACAAAACTGTTTTGAAGATCACGCCCATCGGAAGGCTCCCCATGACAAACAGGAAATGGTGGAACCGGTGGCATGTCCTCCAACTGGCTTGGTGGCGGTCCTGATGGAACCTGAGTCCCGTTTGGAGTGAACCGCACATGCTCATGCCGTTTTTCAGGGCTCACCGCAACTTCTCTAACCTTGGACCTGGGAGTTCGACTTCCATTCCTACGTGGACGATCCTTTTGAGGGATCCCAACATCATTGGAACTCCTACTTGATGGTACGCCCCCAATTGTAGACCATGGTGAAGTCTCCATCCCAGAGTCAGCCTTGCCAGCTGACAACAACTCCAGTTTGCCCTTCAAAAACTCTACATCGTTCATGAGCTTCGAATTCTGTTCTCTCAAAAACGCTACTAGTTCGCCCTCAAGGGCTCTCTGCAGCTCGTCACCATTCAGCTTCCCTTCCATCTGAGTATTGCTAACAGACCCCATTGTTTGCCTTCCATCATCAGGCGGCATCAACCCCTCAGTCCTGGCTCCTCCACGGCCTTCTACTGTGGGTCGCGACTCATACAGCAAACCAGGCGATGATCCGCCACGACCTTTCCCAGTTTGCTCCGTAGACACCTGTTCAAACTGAGCTGCTCTTCCTGAAAGACTTGGCAAAGGAGGCCCTACATCATCACTCATTTGGTCAGTTGGTAAACCCTGAGGCCGACTAGTTTGAAGAACACATTCATCTTGCGCCTTCTGGGAATAAAAAGGATTCCCATTCCAGTCAGATCCCCTCGATGGCAACGACTGAGCCCTTTCCATTGCAAAAACCAGCGAAAGTTAGAGGGCAGTCGTTGGGCTCATAACCCTCTTAACAGCAAGGACCGTTTTCCCTGCACTTGAAAGAAAATGCCTGTAAAAGCACGTCCAATGGTTCTATGATCCTATGTGCTCAGAACGGGAAATAAGCGTAAATACCCGGACAAAAGCGTAAATGCCCGTCCGTCAAGAAACAAATGCGCGTTTTCTAGTTCAAGTGAGCCTAAAAAAGTCAGAACAAACGTAACTCCAAGCGAAAACTGCTATGAGCAGAAAAGTGCTAAGTGAAGATCCAGGTATGCTTTGGAGTTCACGGGTACCGGAGCTGAGAGTATATGTAGTGTGATTGACGAATTCCGCAGTGTGCAAAGAACGCGCTGCTCATTTGACGAGAAATCTCTCAACAGCTTTCGAGGTCGAGCTGAAGAGACTTTGATGTCGGAGGCTTTGTGTCACTTGGCAGTGAATGTCCATAGAGCTCGTTCAGAGCAATCCCTGTGCGCTTGAAAGCAAAGGCAGCTGAGGCTGGATGTTCATGCTGGCCTTTTGCAGAGATGTCGCGCAGCATGCGCAAGCAGCGGCACTGGAATTGACATCCTACAGGCCAAGGGTCAAGCTCTTGTCTTTGCCAAAAAGGCGATTGATGGTTCTTGCTGGAGACTCTAAAGTGTACCAAGCATCAAGCTCTTTTGTCTTTCAAACGGGGCCTTGAACTTTGCTCCTGTTGCTGGAGTGTAATTGCGATGCAGCTCCTGGCTACCAGAGCAGAAAGTTGAGGATCGTCAAGTTCGACAGCCTGCAAAGAACACGATGCCCGTTTGCTGAGAATGCAGATCTCTCAACAGCTGTCAAGGTGAAGAGACTTTGATGTCGCAAGCTTTTGGTCACTTGGCGGTGAATGTCCCTAGAGCCTGCTCGGAGCAATGCATGTGTGTTTGGAAGAGAATAAAGCCCATGCTGGATATTCATGCCGCCCTCTTGTGACAGAAGCAAAGTCGACTCCACCTTTGGCTGGGTTGGCCAGAAGAACATGTTACAGACTGCCGGGGTATATTTGTTCAGGCTCACAACAAAGATTGAAGAGTGCAAGGACCCACACAGGCTAGATGATACAAGACATTTAGAACAGGGCTCACAAAGATTGAAGCTGCGCATGTTCAAGGTCCAGTGCTGGACCCCGCTAGAATAGATTCTTCTTTGCATTACTCCGTTTCAAGCTGAGCTTTTTCATTGAGCGTCTAGCCTAGACTGAAGCCGTTGCTGCTGGCAGCGAGCCTTGCCAAAGCCGTCCTTCTCCACAGTCGTCCTAGCTGTCCAGAGGGTCGGGAACCCATGACCCAACCTGCTCCAAGGACCTAACCCTGAAATCGTTTGTGCTGGCAGCGCGGATTAAAAAAACCGCCCCTTGCCTCAGTCTTCCTTGTCCTTGCAGCCAGTATGGCATGGCGCAGCGTGCGAGCAGGTCCCTTTCCAAGATCTGGGACTTGGCCGGCATCTGCAAAGCTTTGACGCCGAGAAAACGGGGCGCTCAGCGCCGGCTTCCGGGTATTGCTTGCGTGACCCAGTGTGCAAGCAGCAGTTGCCTTGCAGCCATCTTCTGTTTTGACATGTTCTATGAAAACTCGTTACATTCCGCATTTTGAACACATTTTAGTCAGTGTTTTCTGCAAACTGTTAGGTTGTATTTTTGACAGAGCTGGCGGCATGGTTTTGGCACTGGGTCTCGCTTGGATTCCTGCAGTTTGGCTCATTGTGCTGCTAAGGTGACCTACAACTCAGTTGAAACTTGTTGTGAGGGACTGAGTGCAGAGACTTGGTTTGAACCTGGGTGGGAAACCCCTCTGATTTTAGACATGTGCAGCCAATTTAGGGTTTTGAAGCGTCAAATGACTTGGACTCCACCAGATTCTTCGACGAATATTGTAAGCAACGTAAACAAACAATATCCAACAATTATTTAACCGCCTTCGGCATGTTCCGCGGGCCACCATGGAAAGAGCAGGCCCAGCAAGGACATGGTTTTTGTGTAAAACATGGTGTTTGTGGATAACACAGTTTTTGTACAAAACACCTGTTTGTGTAAAAGATGGTTTGGAATCTATACCATCAATAGATCATCATTCAAGTTGATTTATGTTGATTCATGTGGGATTCTTCAGGGCTTTCCGGTAGTTTTGGAGGGTCTGTAGCAATTCGTAGAGCAAAAGCCTCTGCTGCCAATTCGTAGAGCAAAAGCCTCTGCTGCCATGGTAGCCACCGGAAGAGACGATGGAGGCCGCAGCGGTGGCTAATCTTAACCGGAAACCATGGATTTTCCCATGGAATGTATGGACGCCCTGTAACATGTCCCAGTAAACAATCCATTGATTACATTGATCCTGGACGTTTTTCAAAAAACTGCAGCCGGTCTAGTTATATTGTTAGATCTAGTTGATGCAGCTGTGGCCCGCGTTTCACTTGTGCTGGGTGTGCAAACCAGTGCGACAAACGACGGAAAGGATTCAGATACTGTATATCGAAATATCCGGGTTGAAATACACCGCTGCTCTCCCGTCAAATCTGGGTGGATACATAAGATGTATATATATATATATATGCACTTACACATATTACGTGATAAGAAAAGTGTCTCCATATCGACACGTTGAATCTTATGCAAAAACCTGTGTATAAATGTCTCAAACTAGAGAAAGCATCCAGATCCAAATAACGCCACAAACACATTGACACTTTGCCCCGGCATCATTGTGAAACCGGTGAGACAGTGCTAAGACATCGTAAACAACTTTAAAGAAAGAGAGGGGCAATGCCAGATACCCCTAGATGATCCTAGACCAGCTTGCACTTCTGCACGTCGGTTGCCAAGAGAGTAAAGAATTTGCCGAAAATGCCCAAGCACTCAAACAAGAAGAAAACGCCAGCTAGGAAAAAACGCAGCTTCTTTCGATAATACAGGAGTTTCTTTTCTCGTTTTTCATTGTTTCTATTTGCTTGGGATGAGATTTGCACTTGTTGACCTTACGTGGTGCTCAATTCCTGAACCTTTTAAACTAGTAATATGTGTTTGGTGCTTCACCAAGACACTGACAAGCAAAAGAAAGACAACCCAAACACTGACAAGGTACCACTGAATTCCCATCGCAACATATTGCAACACCATCAAAATTCCGCACAGATGCATCATTACAGAGACATGCCCTCCCAAACGCCACCGAGACACACCCGCGCAAAACGCATTGAGACGCTTCTGGGTCTGCACCAAGACATCACCGAGACTCCGCCACATGAATTCACCAGTGACGCACCACCAATACACCACCAAGACGACATACAGTGGACATACAGCAGTTGACACGCCATAGTGACACCGACACCATCCTAAGGCGGCGAGACACTTAACGAGGTCTTGTGCAGAGATCCTCTACACAGGTCTTGCACCTCCCTGCTGCAAAGAAAGGTCCAGAGGACCTTTAAAAATAAACCTACAGAGGCCCCCCGGCGGAGATCCCTACAGAAATCTACGGAGCGACTTTGTAAAGAGACCTTCGAAGATCTGAGCAGCCTTTGCGTCGTCAATAGAGACCTTTTTTGAGATATCGGAAGAGGTCCTTGTGCTGAGGTCTTGGAAGATCTTGGAAGGGGATCTTGTGCACCTTCCATGCACCTCTCACGAGGTCCTGCGCAATCTTGTATAGAGATTATTCTCACCTTTCGTGGCCTTTCATGCAGATCTCTGAAGAGAAATCTTGTCACATGGACCTTCCACGGAATTCTTCTGACATCTTTTGTAGGCCCTTTGCAAAGTCTTATGAGGTCTTGGAAGGAGTCCTGATCCTCATTCCTTATCTTGCTAGAAACATGTGCTGTCTATTCGCCCCATCACTCTGCTTTGGGGTGTTTAACCGGGATAGTTTTTGGGAGCCAGGGAAAAAGGGAAAACCATCTTAACCTCAAAACTCGATGGCCTCCTGATGGTTTCGCCGACAAGGTGTCCAAATTGGTGCTACCAGGCCTATCAGGCCCCCGCGGGTTTCGCCTTTAGATTCGATATGTATATATATATATATACATACATATACGTATATATATATATATACATACATATACAATATCTATACAGGATGGGGCCTCATAGTTAGCTAAGTAGGTTTATAACTATAAGAACAATAGTGTATGATCCTTATAGATCGGGGTTTGAATTTCCTCTACAAAATACGTTCACCCGGGTTTGGTACAAAGCAGGTTTGGACCAAGATTTTATACGCCAAAGTCCTCCTGGGCCATACATTTTGTACCAAATCCATTTTTTCATGAAAAAAAATGAACCTGGTTTGGCATTTTGTAGTGCTTCCATGTTGTTTCCAAAATTCTGGTTTGTGGAAGATCTTACCTCAGGATTTTGCATTTTGTAGGGCACCTTTGGGCTGTCATTGCACATTTGTTCTCCTGGTTGCCGCATTTTGTAGCAGCATTTGGCCGATCATCTCCCAAAGTGCTTGAGATCACGTTGATGATGCAATATTGTATAAATTCATGTGTATTTTTCTGGAAACTTTGACAGCATATGATGGCATTTACAAGCAGGCAGTATCACAGCACAATCATGACCATGGTGGGATACACAGTGTTTGAAACTGTTTGGCTTTCTTTGGCAGTTGGGCAGCGGTTGGGCTGCATAGGGCCTGGGAAGGGGCCCCAAGGAAATTCAAATTCTGAGAGTTCTGATTGCCTACAAAAATATTTCATCATGCCTTGGGTCCTATAAAATGACATGAGAAACTTAGCCCTCAGTGATGCGTCCATGAACCCACCTTTTCATGCGGTGCCGAGAGGAGGCTCCAGACGGATAAAACTCAATCTAGGCATGATTTCCTTTTGAATTCACACCTCCCCTACTACATGATTGAGTTTCCTGAAGGAGTTGTTGTGTCAAACACGAGTTGATACCGGCCATTACGAAACAGATCCAAAATCAAACCAGAAGAAGCAGTCAGTTTAGTCGAGCAGTCAGCCAGCATACTCCCAGTATCAACCCAATGTAAAGAAATGTTGTTTTCACGTATATCTCTACGAACAATTAACATATCAATCGCACTTCTCTTGTCCCGAATAACAACACCATCACCAACAGTATGATCAAAAATAGGACGGTTATCAATAGTAACTAACATGCCCATCATTTCACGCAACTCTTTGTCCCTGTCCAACCTGTAAGAACTGTTCAAACATTCACAAAACAAACTTCTGATCCATTCACCTTCCGCTATGCCTCTAGCTAAAGCCATGAGTTCAGCACCTAGGGTGCTCTGTGTGTGCCTTTCTTGTTTGAAAGATTTCCACCTCATCGGTGTCACCAGCCCTTTGTTTCCTTTCCCAACATCTTCATCAACGAAACAGACAACATAACCAGCCTGACTTTTGAGGTCTTCGGCGTTTCCCCAAGACGCATCAGTTGCCACAAGGAGCTTTCCTTTTTCCAGCGAGATCTTTTGGATTGTCAAGCTCACATGTGCAAAATCCCTGATTTTGCTAACAAGTTTGTTAGCATCGATCAAGTCTTGCACTCTTGCCTTTTGAATTTTCTGCTGTAAACTCCCTGCTGCTGCTGCTATGTCTGGTCTCGTGCTTCCCATCAGCCAGTTGGCTGCTCCGATTACGCCACGTAATTGCCGCCGCTCTCTTTCCGTGACCGGTTCGTTTCTGTTTTTCCTTCGTTCTCGAGACACTTTGATTGCCTCCACATTTTTCGCATATTCCTGTTGGTCACAAACGATAGTTCCATCCTCTTTTTGTTTCAATTCTCTACCTAGAAACCTTCCGCCACCAACTTTCCAGTGTTTGAAAGGATATTTATGTTTCAGAGGTTTCAGCACTTGCTCATGAAACACGGAACTACCTCCAATGACCATGTCGTCCACATGAAGTGCAATTATTCCCTGTAACTCCCCTTCATTGAACCAATGATACGTACAAGGGTCTAATTCACTCTGTCTCATATTCAAACTTTTCAAAACAGAAGAAAAACACAACCACCAATGACGAGGAGCATCAACCAAACCATAAACACATTTAGTTAATTCAACCACTTCAGTACCATCACAACCGGGAATACCATCACGAGGAAGTTGAACAAAGATCCTACCATTCTTTCTTTTGAGTTCATTCCCTTGGAGGAAAGCCCCTTCAACATCGGAAATGATAAGATCCCATCCCTTACTAACAATCACTTGTAAACACACCATCAAGGCATCCATGGAAAGAGTGGGGGATTGCCTATCAACTTCAAACAGGTCAGGGTCTCGAAAACCTTTCACACACCAGCGACATTTGATTTCGGTACCATCTCCTTCAGGTTTTTGTCTCCGAGTTTGCACAAAACGACTCTCCAAAAACCTCTCTTTGGGATGCTCATTCCTAAGCCTTTTTGCCTCTTCCCCTCGAAACACTTTGATAGCCCCAGTTTTCAACAACTTATCCCATTCTTTACGCTTCCCTTCAGTAACTTGGGACCTTTCTTCAGGGGAAATGTCTTTATCTTTGATTTCCTGGGTATCTTTGTGGGCAATAAAAGCTTCAAAACTTACCCCAAGCTGCTTGTCGGTCACCATGAGCACCTCGGACGCACGAGATTCACTGGCACCTTCCGGTGAGTGTTCGACTGTGGCTGGATACGTCGTCATCTGTTGTCTCGCTACCCTATGCTGTCCATGATCGAGGATGTCAACACTTCTCCGGAGAGCTTGAGTCAATGGCGTTGTCCTTATAGGTCCGTACCCCATGTCACTGCCTTGAGAGGCTTCCGGTGTTCCTGAATTGCCTTGAGAGGCTGCCGGTGGATTCATCGCTTCGTCGCTCGCGCTTTCGGAATTCTCGCCTATCGTAGGAAGAGTTGATCCCTCTGGATCGCTCTCCACACTTGCCGGAATTTGATTTTCCATGAACTCCTCGGCCAGATCTTGCTCAAAATCTTGATCGGTTTCTGCCCCAAAACGTGCCCTTTTAGGTGGTGGTTCTGTGTCCTCCCCTACTGGCTCGGCCTCGTCTGCTGGCGGTTTCATCTCGTTTGAGATATCTGTGAACACCTGCGCGCCGCGTTTACTACCTTGAGGTCGTGGTGGTAGAAGATCTGGCGTCACAAAAGTCACTGCTGCCCGTTGGTCCTCTGTCAGTTTCTTGAGCTGTTCTGGACTGCACCTGAGGACTTTGTTGTGATGAGATACCCAAATGCGCGATTTTGATTCAAAGAATCCTATCACTCTTGCAGGTCCTTTCCAGAATCCGCCCTTCCCGGAAGGCTGCTTCCGCCAGTAATACACATAGTCTCCCACTTCGAAAGGTCCCCTTTCTGGTCTGGATTGTCGGGTCACCGCTTTTCTCAATCTCTCAGCATCATCCTGGGCGATGAGTGCTCGTCTGGCTGCTTGTCTAATTTCTTGAGCCCGTTGAAAGTTATCAACCCCATGAATGACTCCGGAAATATAGTGAGTGTTATTGGTACCCTCCAACAACCCTTGGGGAATCCTCAAATCACATCCAAAAACATGCTGATAAGGGGCATACCCATGTTTCCTAGCCATGGAGTTTTTGCTTTCATTCACCTTGTCAAAAAGTTCGTTGTATTCTTCCCGACTCCTAGGCTGACATTCTTCTTGCGCTTTCTCATATATATCTTTCCAAATACCCCCATGTCTTTCACACGCTCCATTCTGCCAAGGACTTTCAGCCGCAGTTTTGTGGACGAAGGTATTATCTCTATCTAACCCTGTTTGCATTTCACCCTCAAACTCATGACCTCCATCAGTCGTGACCTTAACAGGGGACCCCGCCCATCTCAACCAATACCTTCTATAACTCTTTCTGACTTGGGTAGCAGTAGCCCCTTTCCACAAAGGAACAACCACTTGCAGTCCAGTTCCAATACAATAGATGTTGAGGAACTTGACTTTCTTGTCTTTTGCGGGTCCTAATTTCATTTCGAAGGTGTCCATGCAAACATGTTGATTAAACCCAACCACTTTGTTGATCTTGGTAACCGGATGAGGAACTGGGGGTTTCTTAGCCAAACACACGCTACAATTAAGCTGCTTGGCGGCTTTGATTGCAGCCTCGTTGGCCCCTGCTGATTTCAACATGTGAAGGAATCTTTCTTGAGAAGGATGCCTTAAATTCTGATGACAGCGCAACACACTTTCTCTGATGTTCTCATGTTTGTCTTGAAGTTGTTCAACCGCCATCACATCATGTTCATGAAAGGAAATCCATCTTTTGATCCCTTTGACAAAAGTTTCACACAATTTCTTGGGGTAAACTTGAGCACATGCCGTCCTACACACCCATTTGCCCCCGACCCAAACTTGTCCTTCAAGGGTCTGATGCTCATGATCTCCAGTACAAGTCTTGTCCAACATGTCCCTCAAAACAGGATTATCAGTCAAAACCCAGGTGTTCTTACGATAAGGTTTGTGATTTTGGGGGTCTCTCAAACCAAACTGACACTGGTCGAACTTGACTTCTTTCACTTTAGGGTGTTCCCGCAACCGTTCCAGGGGCTCCTCCCAAGAACCAGCATTGGACTGATGCTCCAAACTGAACCCTCTACCGGCTTCCAGTTGCTCTTCACAAATTTGAACCGCAAACCCAAGCAAAACACCTGCTTCAACTCTTTTTTTTTCTTGCTCGGCTGAAGCTCGTTTATTCCTGGACATGTGCTGCATTGCACTGTATGGGCCACAAGGGGTGCGCACATGAACATGTTTGGGCTTCTTTTGGCGGATTTCTTGCAAACACTTCTGCCGATCCTCGGCGCGAAGAAAATCCCATCCGCTTCGGATGTCATAAGCTTGGCTGGTAATTCCATTCTTTTCCGCCACTGTCCCAATTCGGGGAAGAGAAAACACCTCACCAATAGCAACATCACCAAAATCAACAATGAAGATATCCGCTTGTTCAAAATTAGCAGCACTGTCACAGGTCATGGAATCAATCGCTCGCAAATGCTGTACATTTTTGGTAAGTGTCTTCCTTACCTTTCGCGACATGACCTTGGTCAGTTTTGAAACATTTCCATCATCATCTTCATGGTCTTCGGATTCTTGGCCATCTGAATTACCATGTTCTGTTTGTCCAGAAGATCCTTCTTCCACAGCTTCTGAGTCATTTCGTTCCACTTCATGTCGATGAGCTGTCCCTTCTCTGTCACGGGAATGGTCTCCCAGTCCATGTCCTCGTCTGAAGGTTCCAGTGGACGAGTCTTTGCCTTGCCGCGAACTGCTGGACTCAGATTGACTGGTGGAATTGGACCCTGGGTCTCCTTGGTGTTCTGTTTGACACGGCGAATCTTGCTGGCATCTGTGAATTCCACGAAGATCCTGAGCTTTTTCATCATGTCTTGACTGCCCTTGCTGTTCACATGAGTTCTCACCCACTTCACGTAATCCTTCTCCTCGCGATAGATGTCTGCAAAGGCTCTTCCTTTGTACTTGCCGATGGTCATGATGGTGCTTTGGCTCACAGGGTTGCCCATGAAGTCCGTCTCTTCGTCCTGGTGCTGATCGATGCTCTTGATCGTTGCGACCTTCTCCTCCATCTGCATCTCCTGGAGCATCCGCTGTACCTCGGAACTGATCCCCTCGCTGCACATCGCTGGACTGACATATCCACTCATTTTCTTGATCGGTGCTTGTAGGGGCTTCTTGAACCAAGTCAGCTCTAGATACTTCAACCTCATGACTGGATTGCTCAAGCTGATCTATGTTGTACTCATGTTTGGCATCCCCTTTCCGTTTCCCAGCCCTCGCTATTGAAGCAATCAGCAGCAGGCACAGTATGAACACTTTCAAACAGGGGGATGGCGTAATGACCACGACCAGTTTCTCTCAACTTCACTTTGCACTTCAAACGATCAAACCAAACAACATCGCAATTCAAATCCATGACACAACCAAGTTGTTTCAACAACTCCTTGCTAAGAAGTAGGGGTGTTTCTTTCCCACCCTCTGGCAGTACTGCCGCTTTGATGATGAACCTTTTGCCTGCAATGTTTGCCGGCAACAAAACGGTTTCCTCCGACTGAATGGTTCCACTATTTCCAAAACGGAATTGGTTGGTCGCTCTAGCCCTCAAAACTTTCGCGCCCTGCCTGTTCAATTCAGATTCAATCATAGCTAAAGTATCTTTACCAACCAAGGTCCTCCTACAAGCTGTGTCCGGCACTCCACAAATTGCAAGCTGAGAATCTAAGCCGTCACTCAGTAGGACTTCTCCCTGAAAAACTTCACATGGCTGCCACCTCCTCTCGACGTGACACACCACCGATGGCTCATCTGAGCGCTGCCGGTTTCCGGTGGAATGGCTGTCTGCGTTCCCCTGGTTCCTCACATCGTTGGGCAAATCTTCCCCCCACTGATTGGTCTTGGCATAATCCTCAGTGATGAAGGATTCCCAGATTTGCTTCACAGCTGGATCATCACCATTCTCGATGATCATGACTTCCTTGCCTGTACTTCCTGATGATGATGCCTGCGCAGAGACGAGCAATGGACATTCCTTTTTCCAATGCCCAAATTTCTTGCATCTGTGGCATCGCGTTCTGCTTTTGAGCTGTTCGATGCGTCCTTTGATGGACCCAGAGAAGTTCCACCCTTCTTGCTTGCTGGTCTTGTCCATGGCTGGTTTGGGATAAAATCCACGACCTTTCTTTTGTTCAGCAATTTTCTTTCGAATCTCGCTGTAACTTTCGAAGGCTTCCAGGATATCCTCTTCATCCCATTCTGATCTTGACTGAATCTCTTCAGCCATCAGTTCCATGGCTTGTTGTAATTCTTCTTCATCATGATTGTCATTCTCACTTGGTGCGTCTGCTTGGAACACTTCCTTGGTGCTCCCTTTTGTTGCATGTCCTTTTCCTTCCGGAAAAACTGCCTGAACCGCCTTCTCCACTCTCTCAAGTTCCAGATTGCCACCCGTGGTTGTAAGCAGCATAGACTCCTCGTGAGGATCTAATCGCAGTTTCTTCATCAGCATGAACCCCAGCACTACCTTCGGTAGCTTGACATCTTGTTCTTCAAGCTTGCGGCGTGCTGCTGCAAATCGTGCTGCGAACTGACGAAAACTTTCTCCTTGCTTCACAGACAACTCGTAGAAAAATCCTTTGAGAGAGTCTTGCAAGAGATCAATTTGTTGGGGCCCGTACTTCTCGTCCAGAGCTTCCCAGATCAATTTGTCTCCTCCCTCGCTGCAGATCTTCCCTATGTCAATGTGTTCCAACAAGGATTCTGCTTCACCACCTATGAAACTCATCAGCTTTGGGCCATACTTCTTTTCGCTGATAGTGGAAGGTAGGCTGGCCAGCATCAACTGAGCTCTTCTCTTCCATTTCCGGTAGCCCGATGGCTGTGTGCCATCGAACATCTCTAACTTTCCTTTTTCAGCACCAAGCGTTTCGTCGTCACCGCCCGGCATGGCTCACAAACAAACGCCCCGGCCCCTCCAACAGGAGGTGCCCCGCTACCACTGAGAAACTTAGCCCTCAGTGATGCGTCCATGAACCCACCTTTTCATGCGGTGCCGAGAGGAGGCTCCAGACGGATAAAACTCAATCTAGGCATGATTTCCTTTTGAATTCACAGACATTTGTAAGACTTCACCCCTGCCCTGAATTGGCCACCCTGCCGGACACAAGAAATCTCACAAAAATGAGCATTTTGAAAAGATTTTGTTTCTTGTTCGATTTCCTTATATAACGGTGTCATTCTGCTAACTTTTGGGCCCCGATTCAGATTCCTGGCTTCCTGGCTTTTGGATGATTTTGGCATCTACGAAAGGCTTCAAAGATATGATGATATGAGATGATATGAGATGATATGAGGTCATATGTGATTCCATCTGACACTGGAGGCTTTAAACAAAATAGAATCACCTAAAATCATTGGGAAGTTCGTCAATGACCCAAGGAAAAATTAATTCTATTTTGGGCGCTATGTCCAAAATGATCCAAAATGTCTGAAAGTCTCCAGGGTTCCAAAAAGCCCACCGACCACCATACCAAGCCACTTGGGCAGCAGAAGCTTCAGTCTCCACAGCGCCCACGGCCTTCTGGCCACCATTCTCTCTCTCTCTCTCTCTCTTTTTTTCTTCCAATGTTGTCAGGTTGTCCCTTGCGGAGTAGCAAAACTACAGATGAAATTTCAAAATATCAAGGTACTCGAAAAGTCGACTTTTTGGGGACCTCCAATTTTGGTTCTGACATGAGGTTGTCACCTAGAATCAGATGAAATTTAAACCGAAAGAAGGTACTCAAAAAGTCGACTTTTTGGGGACCTCCAATTTTGGTTCTGACATGAGGTTGTCACCTAGAATCAGATGAAATTTAAAACGAAAGAAGGTACTCAAAAAGTCGACTTTTGGGGACCTCCAATTTTGGTTCTGACACGAGGTTGTCACCTAGAATCAGATGAAATTTCAAGAAAAGAAGGTGCTCAAAAAGTCGGCTTTCTTGGATTGCAAAACACTGGCCCGTCGAGAAGGGGCCCCAAGGAAATTCAAATTCTGAGAGTTCTGATTGCCTACAAAAACATGTCACCATGCCTTGGACCCTACAAAATGACATTTGTAAGGCTTCACCCCTGCCCCCAATTGGCCACCCTACCGGACACAAGAAAGCTCACAAAAATGCGCATGTTGAAAAGGTTTTGTTTCTTGTTCAATGTCCTTCTATAACGGCGTCCTTCTGTTAACTTTTGGGCCCAGATTCAGGTTCCTGGCTTTTGGATAATTTTGGCATCTACCAAAGGCTTCAAAGATATGATTCGATGATATGAAAAATGATACCAGCATTGACCCCAAACAGATGTAGAAATTTTCAATTATATTGTACATGCGAACCAAGGAACCCAGAGTGGGAGACAAGTGTGGGAGACAAGTGTAAACTCAGCCCAAAGAACCCAGAGTGGGAGACAAGTGTTGGAGACAAGAGTGGGAGACAAGTGGGAGACAAGTGTAAACTCATGCGCTCCCAAACACCCAGAGTGGGAGATACGTGTGGGAGACAAGTGGGAGACAAGTGTAAAATCATGCGGCCCAAGGCACCCAAGTGTGAGGGACAAGTGGGAGACAAGTGTAAACTCATGCGGCCCAAGGCACCCAGGGTGGGAGACAAGTGTGGAAGACAAGTGTGGGAGACAAGTGGGAGACAAGTGTCAACTCATGCTGCCCAAGGCAACCAGAGTGGGAGACAAGTGTGGGGGACAAGTGGGAGACAAGGTAAACTCATGCGGCCCAAGGCACCCAGAGTGGGAGACAAGTGTGGGAGACAAGTGTGGGAGACAAGTGTGCGAGACAAGTGTGGGAGACAAGTGTGGGAGACAAGTGTGGGAGACAAGTGGGAGACAAGTGTAAAATCATGGGGCTCAAGACACCCAGAGTGAAAGACAAGTGTGGGAGACAAGTGGAAGACAAGTGTAAACTCATGCGGCCCAAGGCACCCAGAGTGCAAGACAAGCGGGAGACAAGTGTAAAATGATGCGGCTCAAGACACCCAGAGTGAAAGACAAGTGCGGAAGACAAGTGGAAGACAAGTGTAAACTCATGCGGCCCAAGGAACCCAGAGTGGGAGACAAGTGTGGGAGGCAAGTGGGAGACAAGTGTAAACTCATGCGGCCAAGGCACCCAGAGTGGGAGACAAGTGTGGGAGACAAGTGGGAGACAAGTGTAAACTCATGCGGCCCAAGGCAGCCAGAGTGCGAGACAAGTGTGGGAGACAAGTGGGAGACAAGTGTAAACTCATAGGGCCCAAGACACCCAGAGTGGGAGACAAGCGTGGAAGACAAGTGTAGGAGACAAGTGTAAACTCATGCGGCCCAAGGCACCCGGAGTGGGAGACAAGCGGGAAACAAGTGGGAGACAAGTGCAAACTCATACGGCCCAAGGCACCCAGAGTGGGAGACAAGTGTGGGAGACAAGTGGAAGACAAGTGTAAACTCATGCGGCCCAAGGCACCCAAGTGTGAGGGACAAGTGGGAGACAAGTGGGAAACAAGTGGGAGACAAGTGCAAACTCATGCGGCCCAAGGCACCGAGAGTGGGAGACAAGTGTGGGAGACAAGTGTGGGAGATAAGTGGGAGACAAGTGTAAAATCATGCGGCCCAACACGCCCAGAGTGAAAGACAAGTGTGGGAGACACGTGGAAGACAAGTGTAAACTCATGCGGCCCAAGGCACCCAAGTGTGAGGGACAAGTGGGACACAAGTGTAAAATCATGCGGCCCAAAACACCCAGAGTGGGAGACAAGCGTGGAAGACAAGTGTAGGAGACAAGTGTAAACTCATGCGGCCCAAGGCACCCAGAGTGGGAGACAAGCGTGGAAGACAAGTGTAGGAGACAAGTGTAAACTCATGCGGCTCAAGGCACCCAGAGTGGGAGACAAGTGTGGGAGACAAGTGGAAGACAAGTGTAAACTCATGCGGCCCAAGGCAGCCACAGTGGGAGAGAAGTGTGGGAGACAAGTGGAAGACAAGTGTAAACTCATGCGGCCCAAGGCACCTTGAGTGGGAGACAAGTGTGGGAGATAAGTGTGTTAGACAAGTGTGGGAGACAAGTGCAAACTCATGCGGCCCAAGGCAACCAGAGTGGAAGACAAGTGTGGGAGACAAGTGCAAACTCATGCGGCCCAAGGCACCCAGAGTGGGAGACAAGTGTGGGAGACAAGTGGGACACATGTGGCCCAAGGCACCCAGAGTGGGAGACAAGTAAATGGAAGACAAGTGTAGACCCATGCGGCCCAAGGCACCCAGAGTGGAAGACAAGTGTAGGAGACAAGTGTAGGAGACAAGTGTAAACTCATGCGGCCCAAGGCACCTGGAGTGGGAGACAAGTGTGGAAGACAAGTGTAGGAGACAAGTGTAAACTCATGCGGGCCAAGGCACCCAGAGTGGGAGACAAGTGTGGGAGACAAAGGGGAGACAAGTGTAAACTCATGTTCCAAGGCACCCAGAGTGGGAGACAAGTGTGAGGGACAAGTGGGAGACAAGTGTAAACTCATGCGGCCCAAGGCACCCAGAGTGGGAGACAAGTGTAGGAGACAAATGGAAAACAAGTGTAAATTGTTGCGGCCCAAGGCACCCAGAGTGCGAGACAAGTGTGAAAGACAAGTGTGGGAGACGAGTGTGGGAGACAAGTGTAGACTGCAAACTCATGCGGCCCAAGGCACCCAGAGTGGCAGACAACTGTGAAAGACAAGTGGAAGACAAGTGTAGACCCATGCGGCCCAAGGCACCCAGAGTGGGATGCAAGCCCGGAGACAGAGGCAAAATCATGCGGCCCAGGGATGCAACCCTTTGAAAGGAGTAAGAGCCCCATACAGGTAAACCTGTTTGGGGAATGAAAGACAAATGGGAGAAAAGTGAAGGAAATCATGCGACCAATCGGACCCAGAGTGGGAGACAAGTGGGAGACAAATGAAAGACAAATGGGAGACAAGAAAGCGAAATCATGCGACCAACCGGACCCAGAGTGGGAGACAAATGAAAGACAAATGGGAGACAAGTGTAGGAAATCATGCGACCAACCGGACCCAGAGTGGGAGACACGTGGCAGACAAATGAAAGACAAATGGGAGACAAGTGAAGGAAATCATGCGACCAACACGACCCAGAGTGGGAGACAAGGGGAAGACAAATGAAAGACAAATGGGAGACAAGTGAAGGAAATCATGCGACCAACCGGACCCAGAGTGGGAGACAAGTGGGAGACAAATGAAAGACAAAGGGGAGACAAGTGAGGGAAATCATGCGACCAACCGGCCCCTAGAGGGGGAGACAAGTGGAAACAAATGAAGGACCAATGGAAGACAAGTGAAGGAAATCATGCGACCAACGCGACCCAGAGTGGGAGTCAAGTGGGAGACAAATGACAGACAAATGGGAGACAAGTGAGGGAAATCATGCGACCAACCAGACCCAGAGTGGAAGACAAGTGGGAGACAAATGAAAGACAAATGGGAGACAAGTGAAGGAAATCATGCGACCAACCAGACCCAGAGTGGGAGACAAGTGGAAGACAAATGAAAGACAAATGGGAGACAAGTGAAGGAAATCATGCGACCAACCGGACCCAGAGTGGGAGACAAGTGGAAACAAATGAAAGACAAATGGGAGGCAAGTGAAGGAAATCATGCGACCAACCGGGCCCAGAGTGGGAGACAAATGAAAGACAAATGGGAGACAAGTGTAGGAAATCATGCGACCAACCGGACCCAGAGTGGGAAGCACGTGGGAGACAAATGAAAGACAAATGGGAGACAAGTGAGGGAAATCATGCGACCAACACGACCTAGAGTGGGAGACAAGTGGAAGACAAATGAAAGACAAATGGGAGACAAGTGAAGGAAATCATGCGACCAACCAGGCCCAGAGTGGGAGACACGTGGGAGACAAATGAAAGACAAACGGGAGACAAGTGAAGGA